CTATCATTAGCTCTGTAGGTGACTTCAGGCCTCACAGAGGAGAAGAAATATCAAAGCGAAAACGATTTGAGAGGGGGGGGGGGACAGAAGAGTGTTTCAAAGATGTAAGAGAGAGACACAAAAGTAGTAAAAAGATGAGGTGAGTACTGTGGAAATAGTCGAATATGACATACAGTGGGGTGATGGTAGTTGGAAGCCAGAAGTCAACTGCCAGTTAATTGACTTATTTGCCGTATGATGAGTATACGTTGCCCAGGGTACACCGCGTGGAGGTAAGTCTATCTAGCACCCCTCTCTAGCAATGGTTGTATGCTTTTAAGTTGCTGTTTCTAAAATTAGTCACAGCTTCTGTGACTTTACCTCAAATGACCTTCGAAGATTCGGTGATCGTTTCCAACTCCAATCAGAGCCTTGACTTCCGAGTTGCTTACGGATGTCACTGAGAGAGAGAGAGAGTGCAATTAAGTACGCAGATTGCCAAGAAGATATAACTTTAGTTGATTGAATTTTATTTTTTTGTGCTTTTATTTACGTTTATTACGCAGTTAATTGCTCATATTACAATTCGATTGTAATGGTTTCGTATGACCAAGGTGCAATGTTTGGGGGTGTATTTTAGGAACAGACTATTTTTACCATTCTGGTGGAAGTTTGCTCAAATGGTGCTTCTACTTAGTCGATGAATTGTGCCAACTTTGTTAGATTTAATCTTATTTCACTATTGGTCTTCTCTCTCTCTGTCTGTCTCGCTATGGTTACATATTTCCCGATTTGTTTCGTTTTAGCAAACTAAGTTGTACTACTCATTTATGAAATAAAGGAATGCATCCTATTCTCATGTTCAGTCATTGAGAGCAGCAAGTCTAGTGAGAGTTAGGGGTCTTCTTGTTATATTTCTGCACCTTGGTAGCTGAATGGAATGACCTATTTAATAACAGCATTGGTGCATTCTGTTTACTGCGATTGTGTCACTAAGCTTTGTCGAGCTTACTTTTTTGTTTAATTGGCTTGGACCAATGGTAACATGAATAAAAGATGTTTGCATAACACTGAATGACGGTAACCGCTAAAACGCACATGCTTTACTTTGCGTTATAATAAGTGCTGTTATTATTACCGATCAACCGGCTCCTGAATTGGAACCACGGTGTTTCGTTTTGAGTGGAAAAATAGTCATCTGCTTTTGCTTTGCTCTCCTTAGCACGATATTCTGAAACGGGTGTCCACAGATACTAGCATTACTGGTCTCGATGTAGCTCAATACAAGCACACTGTCAAGCTCCTTGTCGAACGTTGCGCCTCCGTTCTCTTCGACGAAGCCTTCGGTCAGGAACTCCTCACACGTCTGGTTGTTTCCATGGAGACTGTCTCCTCACAGAGCTCGATCGCTGAGGTGGTTAATGAGGAGATAATTCGAGATCTTCGAATTCTTCTTGCACTCTCGGTGTACCACAAGGATATACTGCCTGCAGATGACATGTTCCAGTACGTGAATAGTGTACTATGCAATCATAGAGGCAATTCGATTCCTGATGTTTCTCCAAAGAGTACTTCGGCTCAAGACCCATGTACTCCTGTGGAGCTTTGTTTACAAGTGAGTATTCTTCACGCCTTTATTATTAATATTAAGCCAAAATGCCATCTTTTATCATAGGGCCATGCTGTTTACCAGGTCGAAAGTATTGATATGTATTTGGGGTAATTTCCAGTTTCATCAGCTCATCCATATTTCTACGTACGGGGTATATATTTCACTGGGTTTTATGAATGTCCGTAACTTGATCTGATCAACTTGAATGAGTGGTCTGTGTCACTTCAAGTAATTTGTGTATTTAGTCAGAAAATGTTTTGTCGTACGAAACTTTCTCCCCTCTAGGCTGTTTCAACTGCAAAATGTAAAGATGTAAGAGCCATTGACGATAGAGCAACGTGCTTTGTACTAGACTTCTTTCTCATTACCCTTACAATAATAATAATAATAATTTCAATTTCAATAATAATCTGATTAATTACGTCATATGATTTACTTAAGTGAAAGGCTACTTTCTAGGCCTTTAATTTCAGCCTGGAGCATATAATGCTTCACGTGTTTTGCGGGGATCCTTACCATTTTTTTATTGCTCCAAATGAATTGATTACTTACCTCATTTCTGATTTTAATGACAAATTGGCGTCTCTTTTGTTTCGAAATTATCGCCGGTTCATATTGATTAAGGGGGACACGTTTACTCGGTGTGTGTGTGTACACTTTTTGCCCTCCTATTGCTATGCCATTAACTAATTCTCTCGCGGTTCCATATGTTGGGACTATGTTGGATTAGGTAGGAGGTGTTAAGAGTGCATGTATGTGTGTGTGTGGACTTTTATTTGTTGGTGTTACCTATGCCCAATTTTGTGAATAAGCAGTAGAAAGGTGTGGGTGGGTCATAAAGAGTAAAAAACACTATCAATGGTTCTTGCCTCGTTTGGTTTTTTTTGAATTCGGGTTTCATTGTTCGTCCCCCCCCCCCCCCACCCAGCTGGATTTCAGCAAATACGATGCAGCCTGTGATGCTCAATGCCTAGCAGTCGAGTTTTAATTAAGAGGCCTTCATCCTGGAGCCTATTTGTTTATGCATCTTTTCTTGTTTAGATCCTATGTTGTCTACTCGGTGGGGGTCCTATTTACGGTCCAAAAGACGCTGGAGGCAGTGGTGCCACACTCGATCAACAAACCGCCGATTTCCAGGCGACACTGGAGGACACCACCGAGGGAGGTGATGGTGACAAACGCTCCAAGCGTCATCGTACTGCCCGCAGTGCTCTTGCGTATCCCTTCTACTCGGGAAGTGGAGAGCAATTGTATGAGCAAGCTAATCAGATCCTACCTCTACTAGTCCATTTCTGTACAACGGGGTTGACGGCAGATTATCCGCCAGTTCCCGTGATTGTTGAGTCAAAGAAAGGCAGTGCTTCGAATGCGAATTCGGGCAAATCGAAAAGTGAGTTCATTCACTGTTTTTTTAGATCATCATAAATTCGAAGACTGGGTTTAGTGGTAATTCTATAGGTTGCATGGTTTGAATGGATCTTTGTTAAGGCTCCCATCATGTGGATAGGTCCACTAAATATTTGGGGTCCTAGAAACTATTTATTTATTTATATCAAATGGCAGGCATTTTGATAGTTATCATAAGCCCTTTAGTTGACTTCAGGCTTCACAGAGAAGAAGGAACATCAAAGTGAAAAAAAGTCGAGAGGGGGAGGGGAACAGAAGAGTATTTCAAAGATGTAAAAGAGAGAGACACAAAGGTAGAGTGAAGAAGATGAGGCGAGTACTGTGGAAGTAGTCGAATATGACATACAGTGAGGTGATGGTGTTTTAAAGTCGGAAGTCAACTGCCGAATAATAGACTTTTTTGCCGTATGAGTATACGTTGACCAGGGTGCACCACGTGGAGGTAAGTCTATCACACACCCCAAAAAGTCAGCAACACCGGGTATTCCCAGCCGGTCACCCATGCAAGTACTAACCCGACCCCGACGTAGTTTAACTTCGGTGATCGGACGAGAACCGGTGCTTTCTACGTGGTATGGTCGCTGACAAGGTCCTAGAAACTATAAGGTGTGTAAAAGGCAAAAGCGCGGAATACGAAGCAGAGGAATTCGCTAACTCTAGGGCAAGTGGCATTTATCTCATTCCCCCCCCCCCCCTCCCCCACCATTCCACTACGAGCAATAGCTGTCCGCCAATATATAGCTTGATCTAGCCGATGGCT